AGCAAAATTCTTTTCTAGATTTGTTCCCAAATCAGAAGGCTGTTCATGATCTCTGAAGCCAACACAACTTCACACTTGGGTGTTTTTAAGAGCAGCCAAGAGCACAAGCTCGGTTGCCTTTTTTTTTTGCTTTTTGTTAAATCCCAGTATCTTCCGCTCGGGATGCTGCTACCGAAAGACAGTTTTTTTCCCCTATGCCCTCACTCTGCTAAACAGCTAATTCCCACAGCACTGTCTTATGCCAGAGGATTTTTACCCATATAGTGGGATTATATTACTATTATCTTTCTCATTTTTCCTTTTACCTTCTCCTATTGGTATCTTATGATTATATCACAGTGATGGCGAACCTTTTAGAGACCGAGTGCCCAAACTGCAACCCAAAACCCACTTATGCGTCGTCGAGTGCCGGGTGGGTGTGGCCCATTGGGTGGGTGTGGCCCATTGGGTGGACGTGGCTGTGGTGGTAACAGTAGACTGGGTGGGACTAAAAAGTTCAGTCAATCAATTTCAACTTTGCAAGATCGTGAGAAGTTAAAATTGACTGATTGAACCTTTTTTTTTTTTTTTGCACATGGCAACGAAGGCCTAACGCGAAAAGGTTTTATAAAACCCAGCTGAAGGCCTAGGACTGGGGCAACGGCGCGCATTGCCCACAGAGAGGGCTCTGAGTGCCGCCTCTGGCACCCGTGCCATAGGTTCGCCACCACTGTTATATCACTTGTTATTTGTATGTACACTGAGAGCTTATGTACTCGTGTGTCCAATTACACTTAGCCAATAAAGAATATTCTATTCTATTCCTCACAAGGACAAGTACTGGAGTACCCTTCCATGTTCATTTTGCAGCAGCCTTGTCAGGGAGGTCAAATGGGGAGATAATGATTGCCCCCCCCCCAGTCACCTAGCAAGCTCCAAGATTTGAGCCTCGTGTTTTGAGCTTGTCCTCCCCAGTATTCTAATTGTTATGTCTCCCTGATCTGAAGAAGACCTCTCTCTGTGACTCCCTCCCCCCCCTCAACCCTCCATCACTCCAATGCCAGCTGAGATTTTTTCAGGAGAGAACTTTGCCAAGGCTGTCCTGAGACTTTGGAGCACTGTGGTAGGAAAGGCTGGGCTCTCCTCCTCCTCCTCCTCCTCCTCCTCCTCCTCCTCCTCTCTTATGCATTTGACCTCTAAGTCCTGATTTCAGTGTTAGTTTGACTTCCCACAGGTAAGCCAACCCCATAAACCTGCACCGTAGAGTATTTTAATGCAACAAAACAGACTATCCTTTTCTACAGAAGCTACTTGGAAGGCAGCCTTCTTGCTCGTGGTGCCCTCCTGGGAGCAGAAGAGCTGAACCGGTATTTTCCTGATCGCAGCATTGGCATCTTTGTAGCCACCTGGAACATGCAGGGCCAGAAGGTGAGGAGGTGAGGGTTCAACGTCCTTCTCTTGATCACCAGGGTTTCCATTTGGAAAGTCCAGGAGGCAGAGGAAAGGCATTTCTTCAGGACTGCACGAGGCCGGAGGCTTCGGAACTGCTTGGGCAGCATCTTGCCTGCAGACGTGGGATGTAGGAAGGGTGAAGGGCGAGCCATATGCTCAGCTCAGGTCAGGCTCACACAAACTTTTCTCCCCGGAAAAGCGTTACTGCGCGCTTGCCCTTTGACTCTAGAACACTGTTTCTCAACCTTGACAATTTTAAGGCATGTGGACTTCAACTCCCAGAATTCCACAGCCAGCAATGCTGGCTGTGGAATTCTGGGAGTTGAAGTCCACATGCCTTAAAATTGTCAAGGTTGAGAAACACTGCTCTAGGAACCCTGCAGATATTTCTGGACAGCGTCATTATACGGTTCTAATTTTGCATGCAAAGTTCATATTTTAATGCAGACAATTTGGAAGTAGGTTCAGTAAGGGTATGTGCAACCTGTCGGGACAAACCAGCAGCCTAGGATCCATAAATGCACTTGCAGCTCCTCCATTCCAGATACGGAGTGTATTTTTTTTTATCCCTTTCTGCTTTTCTTTCGCAAACACATTTTCTGGGAAATGTTAATAAAACAGTGGAAAGAAGCAGCTAGGTCAACCCAGTTTAGTGAAGGTGAGCTGTGGATGAGAAAACTAAAGAAAACAGGAGCCTCTGTGTGTGTGTGTGTGTGTGTGTGTGTGTTTTGGTTTTTGACACTTTATAGATGGAACTTGAAGTTGTCCTTGGTAGAATGCTTGTGTACCTGAAACAAGTATTTGCTTGTGCAGCGTTTCACAAGTAGTGTGTGGGATAGCAGGAGAAGCAGAGTCACTCTTAATCCTCCAAATAATGTGGATTAAATAATTTTCTGAACAGATCAGAAAATGGCGCCTTTGTTCATTTTCTGGGTTCCAACCCAGGGGAACAGAAAAGTATTTGCATCCTGCAGGCAGAAAAATGGATTTGATATCCTGCATCATTTCTTCTTCTTCTTCAGTTGGCAGCTCAGAGCCCTCAAATGAGCCTGCAGAGCTCATCTACAGTTGGAAAGGCCTTTTTTTTTTTTTTTTTTGCAGGAACTTCCCGAGATGCTGGACGACTTCCTGTTGCCCTCTGAGCCTGATTACGCCCAGGACATGTATGTGATAGGGATCCAAGAAGGCTGTCCAGATAGGTATGGAAACAGAAGCAACTTTGCAGCTAAGAGACCCTCCCTCCCATCCATCCATCCATCTTTTGTCCTTCCGAGAATCACCACACCACAAGTAGGATCCTTATATTGCACGGGTTAAGGCTGTCGCAAGTCCTCTCTCCCTTTTGGCAATGAGGCAGAACTTTCTGTTAAAGCAAGGTGAGGCGTCTTGTAGGTGCAGGCCTCCTTTGGGAGAAGGCTGCAAGGGGGTCCCTTGGCAATCTTAGCCCCGTCTTCTCCTTGCCTCTTCATTTGTCTACACCAGGGCTGGTCAACCTTGGCTCTTTTATGACTCGTGGACTTCAACTCCCAGAATTCCTGAGCCAGCTTAGCTGGCTCAGGAATTCTGGGAGTTGAGGTCCACGAGTCATAAAAGAGCCAAGGTTGACTACCCCTGGTCTACACTCTTCCGTGTGCGTGACCAGAGGCTGGCATCCAGGAGAAGAGTGAATGTGGGTAGTTGCTGCAAGGAATTGGGAGCTAAATGGAGGGTCCCCAGCACATGGAACGAGTGGGAACGGAGAGTGCTTCTGGGAGATCCTGTGTCCTCTTAATACGCCCGATTGGCCGCAGCTCCTTTCTGAGCCTGGATTGGGCCTGCTGACCTCAGAGCCGCTCCAGTACCGAGTGGCCCATTGACTTTGCTTCCTTTCTGCAGGCGAGAGTGGGAGATTCGCCTGCAGGCCACGCTGGGCCCTCAGTACGTCATGTCTTACGCAGCTGCTCACGGTGTCCTTTACCTGTCCTTCTTCTTGCGAAGGGATCTCATCTGGTTTTGCTCAGGTACGCTTGGCCAGGGTTATAAATTTTGAGTGGCCTTTTAAGTCACTAATACCGTGGGATTGTTGCCGAATCACCAGACAGCATGTTTTTGTTTGGTGGGGAGAAAGCTGAACCTAACAAGAGCTGTGTGCTTAGAAGATGAAACTGAACCCCATCGTTGAACGGCAGCATTTTCACCCCTTAATACCTACGAAGGCGAACCTCCGCCTTTTTTTTTTTGTTCTGTCCCTGTCTGATCTGAGCACTCTTTGACAGGCCGTGCCGCTTCTCTCTTCCTACAGAGGTGGAATGTGCCACGGTGACAACCCGTATCGTGTCCCAGTTCAAAACCAAGGGTGCGCTAGGAATTTGCTTCACTTTCTTTGGCACGTCCTTCCTTTTCATCACTTCCCACTTCACCTGTGAGTATCTCCCCAAGTTTCGCTTGGAGCCAAAGTAGGTTTTTTTTTCCAAAGCTCTGTAAGCTGGTGCACCAGTTGAACTACCCAATTGAATGCAAATAAGGTAGAGATGTAGAGTTATTGCAGAAAGTGAGGAAGAAGAAATGGACAGCACCAGATATTCCTCCCCCTCTATTCCTTAGTCCGAAGACTTAAAGAGTCTGCAGTCATATAGCACAGTGATGGCGAACCTTTTAGAGACCGAGTGCCCAAACCACAACCCAAAACTCACTTATTTATTGCAAAGGGCCAGGGCCGCATCAGCATTGTGGTGCCCTCGGGGGGGTGGGCATGGGGCGTGGCCCACTGGGTGGGCATGGCTGCAGTTGTCACGGCAAACTGGGTGGGCATGGCTGGGGTGGGCATGGCCACCTCGATGTTGCTCATGGAGGGGACGCCTGCGGGGGCCGGGCAGGGTTGGGGGAGGTCCAGGGGGTCTCTGGCAGGTGGGGCAGTGGGCAGGAGGCCCAGCATAGATGGGGGGAGGCACGCAATCCTAGCTGGGACTGGGGGGCCATGGCGCCGATGGGGATCCAGCTTTCCCTGCTCAGGGTGGTCTTTGGCTTGCTGGGTGTGGGCGCGCTCTACCACCTCTACTCGATCTTGCTAGCTGGCCGCTTCGCCTCCTTTGTGCCTGGTGGGGCTGCTGCTCTGGGCAGTGGCGGCGGCCTAATGGACCTGCGCAAGCTACTGGCAGCAGTGGCGTGCGTGCCCACAGAGAGGGCTCTGAGTGCCGCCTCTGGCACGCGTGCCATAGGTTCGCCACCACTGATATAGCATCTCCTGACCTGTGAAGGTTCTCAGGAAATTCTCCAGCATGACAGTTGGAGATTTCTACCCCACCAGGTTGAATCCATACAAGTTTCCCTTCTCAAATAAATGAACACGACGTCTCAGGTGATGCACCTATAAACTGTTTCTCCCTCTCTTCCAAGATAGTGCATATAGAATAAAAGACACACCCAGAGGGTTGATACAGGAGACATTTTGTGGTTTTTTAATTGAACAAGAGACCCAGATCGGTGTTGTGGCTAAGGCACCAGGATAGAACCCGGGAGATGATGAGTTCTAGTCCTGTCTTGGCACAAAGCCAGCTGGCTGCCAGTGGGCCAGTCATTTTCTCTCAAGTCTAGAAAGGAGAAAATGGCTTCCTGGGGGAGGGAGGGGAACCCTTGCCAAAAAACTGCAGGGACTTGTCCGGGTAGTCTCTAAGAATCGGACATGATTGGACAGAAGAAAAAAATAATAATGAAATTCACATTGATGAGGTTGTTTCCTTTGAGAGTTAAGATTTTACCGTAGTCCTGTTTTGGAGAATGTGAGAGAGAGAAGTCTCCTGAAGTCGTTTCCAGTGGAAACTGCTGTGTTGGGTCCTTTTCCCCCCACTAGAACCTGCCCTAAGTGGCCTTCTTTTCTTTCAGCTGGAGATGGCAAAGTCAACGAGAGGATTCTGGATTACAGCAAAACCATCCAGGCTCTCTCGCTGCCCAGAAATATTCCAGACACCAACCCATATCGATCCAGTCCCTGTGAGTAACTTGGCACTTGAAAATGCTTCCTTCACCCTCCGTTTTTCATATGCGGAGATACCTTTCTCTTTCAAATAAACGCCGCCATCATGATGCGCCCAAAAGGAAGTTGTATTCTGGAAAGTCACTGATTTGGCCTCGGCCCAAATGTGGGTCCCAGTTCAAGGGACCAGCCAGTGTTTCCCCATTTGGGCAATTTTGAAATGTGTGGGCTTTAACCCCAGGATTCCCCAACCAGCAAGGCCATTGCTAAGAATTCTGGGAACTGAAATCCATGCATGTCAAAAGTTGCTGAGATGAGCGCTAGGGCAGGCAGATCACAGTCACCGTGTTTCAACAAATGGGATGAAGTCACACACAAATTCAGAATTTAGATGCAGGTAGTCCTTGACTCTCAACCGTTTGTTTAGGGACTGTTTGAAGTTACAGCAGCACTGAAAAAAAGCGACTTATGACCGTTGCAGCCTCCCCAGGGTCAGGTGATCAAAATTCGGATGCGTAGCAACTGGCATGTCTTTATGACGGTTGCAGCGTCCCCGGGGGTGTCACAGGGATCCCCTTTTGTGCCCTTCTGACAAGCAAGGCCAACGGGGAAAGACAGATTCCCATCATAACCCTGTTGCTAACTTAACAGCGGCAGTGATTCATGTTAACAACTGTGGCGAAAATGGTCACAAAATGGGGCAAAATCCACACAAACTGTCTGGTTTCGCAACGGAAATATTGGGCTCAAATGTGGTCCTAAGTCGAGGACTCTCTGTACAGAAATTCAGAGTTCAGACCTGAAGCGGTCTGAGTTCCAGTTACTTTGTTGGCAAGCTTTGAACGGAGTGAATTTCGCCCTCGGATCCCCTCGGTCCAACCCGGCTGTCCAGTAATTCTGCGCAAGCGTCGGGGAAGACTTTGGACTTCCTGCGTAGCCTCTTCTCCACTCTCTCCCCCCCCTCCTTCGCTTGGCCCTGCAGCAGACGTCACCACCCGCTTCGACAACGTCTTCTGGTTCGGAGACTTCAACTTCCGCCTGAACGAGGACCGGGAGGTGGTAGAGCAGCTCCTCAGCCCTGGCCAGGAACTGGACCTGCCGGGACTGCTGCAGCACGATCAGCTGCTGGAGGAAATGCAGAGGGGTGAGGACCACCTTCCTTTTTCCTGTGTTTGGGCAGGGCCCAGCCTCGCTTGCTTTGATCCCTGCAGTAACAGTTACAGAAGCAAAAGTTCCAGCTGGGTGCCAGTTGTACCCCTGCAGTCTCAGCAGCTCTTGCCTCCTCAGGGACCATTGTGAGGGGCCTCTAAAGACACCCCTTCCCTCCCTCCCTCCCTCTCAAGAAGGCAGTGGCCCGCTTGACAACCTGTGCTTCCTGCCCTCCACAGCTCCCGCTTGGTTTCTGAGTGCAATTTAGAGAGTTGGTTTTGACCTATTAGGCCCTGATGACCTGCAGAACTGTCTTCTCCAAACAGAATTATCCCAGCCACCTCAGCTGACCTGGAAGATACCCTGGGCAGAATCCCTTTTCCATGAAGGGCGATGAGGTCCAGAGCAGCTTCTTTCAGTCGGAGTGTAAGGACCCACTTCAACCCCACATCTTAAGAAAGCAGAACTCTTGGAAACAATTTCTTCCAACAGGAACTTTTATTAAGAGTAGTTGATAGCAGGCATAATAGACAGGATCTGAGATTTCCCGCGCAGAGTGATAGATTAAAGTACACCCAAACTAGACCCCACCCCATAGTCCGCCCGTCCGGTACGGGACGGCCAATCCCCAGGTGTTAAGGCCATTGTGGGAAAGGGGAGATAACATCGGCTGTCTCCAGTTCACACAGTGATGGTCAGCGGCTTCTTCACACCTTCCTCTGAGAGCGTAGAAATAAACCAGGCACTGGGTTATATTCCTTATTTCCTCCCTTGTTCTAACTGATAGTTTAGGACAGACATGTCAAACACAAGGCCCGGATGCGGCCCGCGAAGTGGTTTCATGTGGCCCGCAAAGCCATTCTAGAAACAGTGAGGGAATGGCCCCCGCTGCCTTGACCCTGGCCCAGGCCGGCCGGGAGCCAATGTACAATTTTGTGGTGGCCATCTATGCTCAAACACATTCAGTCTTAGCTCCACAAGACCGTCCAGAAACAGCGAGGAACCTGCCCCTGCCGCGTCGGCCCCATCCCCTGGGTGCATGCTGGGGAGGGGTCACTTTTTGTGAGGAATGAATAAATGGACCATGCCTTGGCACTTGCCCCGGTCCCACCCCCTTCTGCCAGAGACCCTCAGATCTGTCCCACTCCTGCCCAGGCCCCCACAGCCCCCCTTGACACAAACGATGTAGAGCTGGCCTTGCCCACCCAGTAGGCCACACCCACTCCATCCACACCCACCCAGTAGGCTGCACCCACCCTGCCTCCCCCCCCCAAGGGCAACCACAATGCTGATGCAGCCCTCAATGAAATTGAGTTTGACACCCCTGATTTAGGAAGATAAAGTTCAGAGAGAGACATAGGGCAAGAAGCAAATTGTTACATTGTAGGGGGCAGCAGACACAGAGGCAATAAAGGAAGCAAAACGTTACCTTGTAGTGAATAGAGGAAGCAAAGGCAGGCACCTCCCCCCTCCCCTTTGGGAGTATGGCAGAACTCAGGGAAAGGTGAGATTTGTTTTTAGGTCAGAAATGAAAGAGGAATGGGTTCTGACAAGGAGGACCCACAGATCTGTTGCTAGCTAAAAGGCAGACCCGTTCCTTCCAAGCACTGAGCTTGTATACAGGCAGGCCTCAGTTTACAAGTGGGCAGGTGGAAGCCGGAAGAGAAAGTCGCACGTCTCTGTCGCTTAACGTCCGTGGTGCTCTGCTTAAAATACCGTAGTAAAAGTCCTAAAATTGGGTGGAGTCGTATGATGCCTCACAGAACGACTGCACCATTTAACGACAAATGGTTCTGGTCCCTGGCGGTGCGTCGAAAAGGCAGAGAAAGGGGCGTAACCGGGCCTTTTCGCCTCTTGCTGATTTCCAGGTTGAGCCCCACCCAGTTGATGACACCCACACATGATTTCACCTTCGCCTGATGGGGGAGGCTGGTGACCTGGCAGAGGAGGGGTCCAGTGGGGTGGGAATCGGCCTTCCGGCCCGGCACCCCCTTGATTCGCTCTCAGTCTGCCAGGGAGGCTTTGACTTAGATCGGTGTCGCCAAAGCCTTTCTCGCGTGACCGTGGCTTAAGAACCCAGTGTAAGGACCCACCCCACTTTGCATCTTAAGAAGACAGAACTCTTGGAATATTTCTTCCAACAGGCATCTTTATTAAGAGAAGATGGTTGCAGGCGTTCTAGACAGGACCTGGGGCCCAAGCCCTACCGTTCAAGGTTTTAAGTGTTCCCAAGCAGCCCCCACCCCACCGTCCTTCTAGCGACAATCCCAGGCATTACATTCCCACCCCCTTTTCCTCACGGCCGGCGGAAGGGAAACTTCAGAGAGTAGATGAAAGCTGATGGGCCCTATTGTTATGATCAGTCCTTTTGGTGCGATCCACATTCAGTCCCTTTGAAGTTGTAAGGAAGGAAGTGAGAGCCATAAAACCCCTTTGCTCATCCCCCTTCCCCTTCGTAGTATGACAGAATCCAGAGAGGGCAGAAATGGGGTTTTCCATAGTCGATAACTAGAGATGAAATATAATTGGATTCTGACACCCAGTCAGTTTCCTCAGTTGACCACTCACTGCAGCCTGGCACGTGATGGCAGGGAGGCTCTGGGTCTTGGGGCGCCCTTAAGGCTGGGGTTTAGGGCCCAGCCCTTTGACTTGCCTGATCTGCTCTTTGCACAGGTTCTATATTTAAGGGGTTCCAAGAGGCCCCCATCTTCTTCCGTCCTTCCTACAAGTTTGATGTTGGACAGGACACCTACGACACAACCTCCAAGCAGAGGACGCCTTCCTACACGGTAAGGGTTTTTTTGGGGGGGAGGCAGCAAGAAAAAAGGCATTACCCCTCCCCCCACGCAGGGGAACCTCTCCAAACAGGAAAGGGCACCCCAAAACCAACCATTCTCTCCACAATTCCTACTACATATACAGCACCCTCTGGTCAAAAAGCTTGTCCTGCACTGGTCGAGAGGCTTTGGATAAAGGCAATATAAATCTGCCTGGCCAAAAAAAAAAAAAAAAGTCAGGTAAATGGTACAAGGATGACTTAGTTGCGTTTTTTTTCTTAGGTAAGAGCTGATTTGGTCTAGACCAGGGGTAGGCCACCTTGGCTCTTTTATGACTGGTGGACTTCAACTCCCAGAATTCCTGAACCAGCCATGTTGAGGGGAAAGGGAGAGGTTTCCAAGCTGAGCTGTGCTGGCTCAGGAATTCTGGGAGTTGAAGTCCACCAGTCATAAAAGAGCCAAGGTTGCCTATCCCTGGTCTAGTGGTTAAAAGCATCGGGTGAGAAAGTGGGAAGCTCTGAGTTTAATTTATTCACTAAATGTTTATGCCATTCATCTCCCCGATAGGGTGACTCTAGTTCTGCCTTCTGTATTGTGCCCAGAGAAGCACCTGGACACATTCATGAAGCCACTAGAGGCCTTCTCTTATTTTGCCCCTTCAAACCTCACAAGGGCTCCTTAAGCATTATGCTCCTCTTTTGTGCGTGGCTCCCTCCCCGGGTACCCTGCTTCGTTCTAGAAAAGGAGGCTTCCTGGAAAGTCCCAGTTCCATCTCCTCGCCTGCCTGGAGCTTGCGTAATACTCAAGTTAGCAGGGGCAGGAGAGAAACGTGACATATGAAGCTCACCCAGCTTCTAAACAAGAAAGCCAGGTCCATGGCGGCTCCAGCTTCTGCAGCGCCCAAGGCTTTGTAGGCAGTGGTGGGATTCAAATAATTCAACAAGTGGTTCTGTTTGTCATCACCGGCGTGACGCACTTTGCATATTTGTCATCACATTGTCATCACTGGCGCGGCGCACATTGCACTGACATCACCGGCGCCATACGCCTCACAGTGTTATCACCAGCCCGACGTGCCACACAGATTTATCATAACCGGTTTGCCGAACCCAACAAAAAGTTAGGTTTCGGTTCTGCCGAATCGGTGCGAACCGGCTGAATCCCACCACTCTCCTGGAAGTCTCTGTCTGGGCCAGAGATCTAAGGCAGGAGCAAGAGAGCCGCTCTGCTTAGGCATGTCAGGGCTGCTCTGCTCATCTTTCTCTCTTTTCAGGACCGGGTCATCTACCGAAGCCGCCACCAGCATGAAATCCATGCTGTGAAGTACTCGGCCTGCTTTGGGATCAGAACGTCCGATCACCGCCCTGTGTACGGGTTGTTCCGTGTCAAAGTGAGGCCCGGAAGGGACAAGTGAGTACGACTACCATCCAGAGCCTTTGAAAAGGCTTCGTTCGGAGGCCTCCCTCACGTTCCTTGCAGACACACTTGCATTGCAACACCTCGCTCTGAGTTGTGATAAGAGTGTCAACTACACCAGGGCTTTTCAACCAGTGGTACGGGTACCACCTGTGGTACATTGGCACCTGGCAGGTGGTACGCGACCATCCTAGAAAAGTGGTTGCGGGGGAGGGGAATGAGCTGAACCGGTGGCAGCACCACACAAGCCTGAGCGAGAGATGGCTGGAGCTGCAGGGCTGTCAGGGCTCAGCGGAAGCGCCAGGCCCCACCTGGAGCTCAGCGCTGATCCTGGCACTTCTGCTGAGCCCAGAAGAAGCACCGATCAGCTGGAAAGTTGCAGCCTCTCCAGGGTCTTATGATTTACATTCGGATGCTTGGCAACTGATTCATATTTATGACGGTCACAGTGTCCCAGGGTCATGTGAAGTGACCAAAACCTGCTGCAACCACCCAACAGACGAGGGGAATAAAAACCAAACACCCCCACCCCACCCCCGCTGCCAATTCTCAACAGAAATGCTCACAACAATGAAAACCTCGGACAGGAGGAAGAGCGCCGCCGGGCGGGCAGGGAGGTGTCTTGCTCAGCTGTGGCTTGGGGAGCACTTTTTTCAGTGCCATTGTAACTTCGAACAGTCACTAAGCGAACTGTTGTAAGTCGAGGACTACCTGTACTTTATCACTTTTTTCCCTTTTTTGGGGGGGGGGTCATCAAGTTTTTGACACCTTGCTAGGCGACTGGTGGTACTCGGATGTTGCCATATCCTAAAAGTGGTACAATGGGTGAAAAGGTTGAAAAGCCCTGGACTAGACCACCCTAGCCGTGAGAAGGCAGAGAGGCATCGGCCACCCCATACCTGGACTGTGCCGCTGAACTGCCTTTAATCCTAACAGCTGAAACTGGGGCTCAGAGACAGTCAGGGATATACAATCCACCAGGCAGTTGGGTGGTTCTGCTAACCTCTACTGAAAGAATACGCTGCTCCGTATTTGTAGCTATTCTTAACTATTCAAAATCTCATGGAATAGCCAAGATCTTATACGATCTTGTGATCATTTTATTTTAAAGGCACATTCACGTTGTGTGGAAAGGTTAGTGACCCAACTAAGGGGGGGAGGTTAAATCTAACCTAATTACTGCTAGCGTTTCCAGGCCGTGCAAAGGTGAAATGAGGGAAAACCAGGATGCCCAACTATTGGAACGGGTCCTACAGAGGGTAAAACAATATAGCGCGCGCGCACACACACACACACACAATGTAAGTTTTCACAAGCCGGTTTGTGCTTTGTCCCATTCACCTACAGCATCCCGCTGGCTGCAGGCCTATTTGATCGAGAACTTTATTTGATTGGCATAAAGAGACGGATCACAAGGCAACCTCAGAAAAAACAAGCTCTAAAAAACCAGAAATCCAGCACGATCTGTTCCGTTTCCTGACCAAAGGCACCCAAGACCTACGAGGCAAGCGGAAGGACGGGCGGACGAGGCCTCCTTCGGCTCCTTCCGTGAAACCCGGCTGGAAGGGCTCCAGCAGAGCCACAAATGCGAAGGGCTCTTTTGAGGCTGGAAATGGCCGGGCAGCCAATGGATTGGATCAGGATTTTAATCCAGCGGGTAGCTTCTTCCCGCTCAAGAAGCTGTTCTTCCCGTGTCCTGTTGCTTGAGGAGGATCCTGGAATAAACCTGCAGGGTGTTGGCATTTTGTGTGTTACACCAACCACAAACATTTCTTAGTTTGGGAAGATATTTCTGAGGATCATCTTGGGGAATAAAGGAACACGTTCTAAGCCTTTAGCTAGGAAGTGAATTACGCACCGAGCCTAGTTTGGTCCCCCAAAACCAACATTTTTCCTAAGAATTCTCGAAAAGTCCCTGGAATGCCAGCGGGGCAAGGGAAGACTCAGAAAGCACCAGCCTAAGGAGGTGATAGGGTGTGTTTCTTACCTTCAGGGAAGACAAACCACCTTCTACCAGCTACATTTTTTTAAAAAATCCATTAACTGAGAGAAGGTGGAAACCCGTTTCACTCCATGAAGGGCCTTGAGTGGCGGCAAAAACCAGTATTTGCAACAGCAAAGGCCCATTTTAGCTGCTGCCAATGGTTGATAGGTAGCTATGCTTTCCCCTTCTCAGGTTTAGTCATCATTTTCCTGGATTGTGCTTGGGTTCAGAATTCCTTGAAATAAAAGGATGATGTAGAACTTACAAAATGTGTTTCTAGGGTGTCGGCTGCTTCTTGAATCTCTGCGCTACTGATCTACCCTGTATTCCTACCCAGAGCTTAGCTTAAAGCCTCATCGATGGGAATTCCAGTATTTTCAACATGCAGTACAAGTTTTCTCTTTCCCTCTTTATGGGAATCAAGCATTCATTACAAGATTCAGAACGTGTACGTATAACGCGTACAGTTGCTTGTAGCGCTGGAGGGTGGCAGAAGGCCGTGCCCCAGGGCATTCTCCCAGCCTGCAATGTGGCAAGTCCATGAAAGAAATCTCAGGTGGACTCCTTGCCAAGCAAACCCCTGCAGAGCCAATTCATAGCCAAGTCCAGCTGTAGTAAATGAGCCCAAGATTTCCTTTGCTCGAACCAGGCGTCCTGCGGCAGAGGACAAGGAGGTTGGCAAAGAATCGCTCAAGAGAAGAGAAAGATAACTAGCTATTTATTTAGCTCAGTGTTTCTCAACCTTGACAATTTTAAGGCATGTGGACTTCAACTCCCAGAATTCCACAGCCAGCGTTGCTGGCTGTGGAATTCTGGGAGTTGAAGTCCACATGCCTTAAAATTGTCAAGGTTGAGAAACACTGATTTTAGCTGATACTTCAGGCTATTTTCAAGCAGTCCTCTTCTCCCTCTGCAATTGGACAGGTATCCTTTCATCTCAACAGAAAT